TAGTCTTTAACACCTTGCTGGCCTCTGTCCTTGGTAGAGTACATGCAGACCTGAAATCATATGTTCAGCAATTGTAAACTCAATAGATTCTACTGTCTTCAAGGGAATTTGTTAACCAGCTGAAGATGTACCCACCATATTTTTTCTTTTTCTTTTTCCTTTTCTTTTTTTTTTTTTCTTTTTCTTTTTTCTTTTTCCTTTTTTTTTTTTTTAATTTTCCTTTTCCTTTTTCTTTTTCTTTTTTTTTAAACTAAGAATATATATAATACATATAAATATATATATATATATATGGAGAATCTTATCCCCCATTTCTTTATGCAGTACTGACATTCAGTTCTACACCACTGAAAACTAACATCAGAGGTATGGAATACTTTACAATACTACAAAGAAGCTAAATGTTAGGTGTGACAAAGGTCTAGGCTACCAAGCTGTGTATGCACAACATGAAGAATAGTGGAATAAGAATCCAAAGGAAAAAGAAAATCCAAAGGACAGCCAAAGCCCTACTGGAATTAAATTTTGGTAGGGACATCAACGGCAACAAGAAGGAGCAACCTTTCAGTATCAAAAGAGGGGCTACAGGAAAGCTGGGGAAGGAGTTTATGTCAGGAGGTGTAGTGATAGGTCAAGGAGTAATAGCTTTAAGCTAAAAAGGATAGATTTAGATGAGATATTTGGAATAATTTTTTTACTCTGAGGGCAGTGAGGCACAGGAACAGGTTGCTCAGAGAAGCTGTGGATACTCCATCCCTGGAGGTGTTCAAGGCCAGGTTGGATGGGGCTTTGAGCAACCTGGACTAGTAAAAATTGTCCCTACCCATGGCAGGGCAGTTGGAATTAGATCTTTAAGGTCCCTTCCAACCCAAATGATTCCATGAATCTGTGATTCTTTTAATCAAACTAAACAAGAAAAATGCTAGGAAGAGAAATGGTTTCTGACTCCTGCGGTTCCAGGAGATATTGCAACTGTGATTAAAGAAATCAGAGACTTTAAAGAGCTTCCTAAAAAATAAATAAAAGAAAAACAACTCAGAATGATGAAGGAATATCAATGAAGGAAATGTGTGAAAAGCAGATAAGGAAAAGGCAACAGCAACACAAAATCATTGGCAATAAGCTAAATCATTAACAAAGGTTATATTTGTACCCCCCACTCTTCCCCTACCCCAAAAGGTAGCCACTGAAGAGACACTGAAGTTAGAAGCCTTGCAGAGTGTATGTAGAGTAGTGAAAGAAAAACTGTTCACATCATAAAAGAGATGCATTTGTCCTCTGGTGGGTATCAATTAAGCCACATATTTTGTGTGACACTCCATTTCTTGGTCCTGATTCACTCACAGAAATTCAGAAAACTGCCAAGACTGTTCTCTACAAATCAACAAATCTCTTTTTACATCACTTACTGTTTCTTTTTTTTTTTTCCTTATTAATTATTAATTGGAATAGACCTTAGATAAGTGAAATTGTGTCCTTGCATCTCTCTCTATTGAGTATGGGAAATGATTGGTGTATTTAAACCTTGAGGTTAGGCACCTGAAAAACAGTTCTAAATTTTTATGACCCTGGCTTTTGGTGCGCTTTCCACAGAGCACATTGATTTTGCATTCACAGACTAAAGGACAGAAGCACTGTGATTGAAAAAGAAAAGGTAATTATTATGATGGTGAAGAAAACCATGTCTTAAGTTATACAGGTAATCTTTCCCCTTCTATTTAGAGAAGTAGATGGACTCAGTTTATATTTTTATACCTGCACATCAGTGTGTGTTTATGAATGAAATATTAAATTTCTATGAACTAGTCACTGGTACTGTTGTGGTCTCTGTGCAATGGCAGATAATAATATTTACCTTTTTTACAAAGCAAAACATATTAAACATGCTGTCAAATCTAGTGTGTATAGCATTCTGCTTCAAACGCTAATACTGAGAATGTAGTTTATTTATTTTTGAAGGCATAATAGCTTGCCAGAGTGACAGATGAGTTTGGTGGTTTGGATACTTACCTAAAGCTTGGACACATACTTGAATTTCATCCAAAGAATGAAAATTTTAAAATGGAAGCATTTAGCTAGAAATGTTTTATAAACATGTTCTCTTGCAGTACATCAAGTATTTTTTGCACTCAATCTAGTATAAAATACATAGAGAGCAATGCAAACTCCATTCATCTCTAGCTGAGGATTTTGGTGCAAGGTCTGTAGCACCACTCTACTCTGGAGAAGACTATGCTGTGTATAAATGTTTTGTGCTGGGTCCAGCATTACCCTGAAGTGGAATCTAAGCAGAAAATATTAGGCTAACTTCAAGTATCCTTAATCTGTAAAATCAATTCTGTCCTAAGAGAAGGAGAAGGTGGACTTAGCATGTGTTCCCCACAGGTGAACACAGTGTTTGGTCTTTTCAGAACAGATTTTATTTCTGTTTAAATAATGAAGCAAAACAATTTTAAAGTTATGATGCCAGAAACTATGCTTCTGCTGAAGTAAATGACAATTTTGCTGTCAGGGGGCAGGATTTCCCAAGTAACGTTCTTTTTTACATACAAATTAGAGTTCTTAATAATGGCTTAAAGTGATTGTTTTCAAAATACATAACAAAATATATTGCAGGCAAATCTTTGTATACTGGATCAACTTTATTATAAATTAATTATCATTTTGTTTCCTAATCTTCCCAGATGGCAAACAGGAATAGATAAGAGAAATTAATAATATTGGAAATCATTCTTCATTACATTGGTGTATCTTCACTGGATTAAAGACAAGTATCTTGGTATTAAAATACTGTTGTGAAATGCAGAATCAAGCCCTTTGAAAAAAAAAAAAAGAAAAGAAAAAAAGAATCCCAGAACTTTAATTATAGTGCAGCTTTACCAGTGACCCCCCCGATGATAGACATCCTCTTTGGTTTTGCTCAGGATTTAATTGTTGAATACCCTCATAATCTTCTCAATGCCTTTTCTTTTAAGCAGTGCCATTTGCCCTGAATAGAACTGTTTATTGTCATCTGCTAGTAAGAATAAAAAGTAGCACTTGCAGATGCTTTACATTTTCTAACCTTGTGCTGTTTTGGATATATAATGGTCTACAGACATAATCAAGTCAAGTGTTGTAGGGCAATGTAATCCTTAATATAAAGTTGTTGTGGCTGGAAAGAGTAGTGTGAGTGTTGTGGTCTGGAGTGCCTTCATCTTAACTGATTCACTACTCTGTTCTTAGTGTTGTCATCACTACATTTAGAAGCAAAGCCAAAACATGTATCTCCTTTTACAGCTTCCCACATGTATGTTTCTGGAGAGTGATGTGCTGGAGAGGCAGACGCCATTGTTAACTTAACCCAGATAACAGATGTGATGACAAAGGATAAGGAACTCAGGGCCTGGTGTTGCAAACATCTGCAAACCAAGGGAGAAGCAGCCTATGAGATCCCCTGAGCCAAATGAACAAAAAACTTTGTAGAGAGACTAGGTCTTTTCTCCACATCTGACCTAATAGAAGCATTTCACTTTCAAAGCACTGTAAAAGCATGAATCAATGTTTTAATAAAACAATAAATCAGTGTTATCTTGGACCTCCTTCTATGCTTCACAGCTTGGTAGTAAAAAAAAAAAAAAGTGTAGTTAGGAAAAGACATCTCCTCCCTTCACCACTCTAGTCTTAAACTATTTCCAAATTATAATAACAGCATTCCCATATGTATGTAGCTTGTTAATTCAGTCATAAGTCTTCCCCTATCAATATACTGAGATCACAATGGATTGTTGGCTGCATGGATATTGTCATTCTCATCTCAATAATCCCTAATCAAGAATGCTTAAATTCCTTAGTCCTTTAATACCTGAAATCATATTTTTCAGGAGTAGAGAGCAGAGGAAGAGTTCTGTCTCAAACACACATCATTTTCAATGACAATGAAATACACATATGACCTTGAAAGTTATGGGTACTAAAGTAGGAGAGGCTTATAGCTAGAGCACAGTCACATTGTTCTGTCCTGGAAAGCAAGCAAGCAAATAAACAAACAAATAAAAACAGCCAAACAAACAAACAAAAAATCTCTACATACAAGTAAAGTTTTGCAAGGGATCTGTAAGGTAGAATAAATGTTTCTAGAGTTAGATCTCACTTAAGATACAAATTAATTTGTAGATCCATTGTTTCTGTTGCTTGAACTTTAGTCCATCTTGGTTTTGCTTTTAAGAACTATTAGTACTACATCTGTCACAAGTGAAAATAATTCTAATTCTTTAGAATTAGAATAATTCTTTAATGACATTTTCTCAGACTAACTACAGTAACAGTTAGGTTTCTTTCTCAGATTAAATACAGTTCCTTTTAGAATTTCAAGATTTCCCCAAATTGTAATGTTTTAGTATCATCTGCAAAAATATAATGTTAATTTGGTCCCAAGTTTTATATTTTCATTTTATATATGAGATAATCTTTCTTTCCTTTGTATTGGAAGAGAATATGCCAGATTTAAATACTGACTGAACTTTCGAGAATCTAATATTAACCAAATTCACATAAGAAATAAGTATTCACTAACTCACTGTTAGGGTGAACCCATTTTCTAAAACAGTATGTCTTCAGAATAAGCAAAGTTGTCAGCAGCACTTTGCCAGATGTAATGTTGGAATATCTGGATTCCATTTTATTTCTTTATAAAAACTATAATTTTCATGGGATCCAAGTTTACTACTGGCTAAATTACTTTTACAGACAGCAGCTGGAGTAACTCAGCTGTGTGCCTAGGGTGGTTGGAGAGTCAAGAAGGAAGGAATGCTTCCCAAAGCTAAGGAATGATAATAGAACCTCTGTATATCTCCATTTGACTCCTGAGGACCAATAAGCTTCTGAGACCAGGACATCTCAGTGTCAAATAGGTCTAATCTAATTCTGAAGAAGATCTCCACAACAGGTGGGCTTCAGTTCCTGTAATCCTATTCTGTTAAGTATTAATAACTCAGCTGCAGCTTGTCTTCTTAGTTCCCCCAACACTTGGGTGGTCATTCATCATTGTATGTGCTACTGCCAACATCCCAGAGGCAAGAGGGAAGCAGAACTGGTCAAACAGCAGCAAGCGCTAAGCTGTGATAGATCGGAGAAGAGGGAGGTGAGAAAGGAGGGATGTTGTCTCTCAGGTCCAGTAATTTAATGCAATTCTGCGGCCCCTGCTGCTTGTAACAGACCTTTCTTGCTACATAATGCAAGTTACCTCATATAGCATATTAAGAACATGTGAATTATCTGTTTGTAAATCACACAGTCATGCTTAAATCTTTGCCTAAAATAGGCCTCTTAAAAAGTGAATAATAACCAAGTAGACACCAGGAGAAATATGCCTTAATTATTTTAGCTCATCTATTACCACTCTAGATCTCTCTATGAAAGCCAGATGCAGAGGCAATCAATTGGAACCTACACTGTTCAATAACCTCTGCATATCACTTCCCATTAAGATATGAAAGCCTTAGCTATCTACTTACGTCAGAATCTAGTAGTCAATGCAACTTTTAATTGATGCTTAATATTCACAAATTCTTGAATTAGCATGCAGGATCATAACTACTTCTCCCCTCCCCTCCCCTTCCCCCTTTCTTTTTATTTATTTTTTCAGATTTCTTCTGAATGCAAACAGTCTCTTTGCACAGGATGTAAATTATTATTACAATGAAAGCAGCCAGAAGGACAGAAGCTTGGAAATGATTTCTCCTCTGAGCAGTAGGAGATTGTTTGGGTCCTGCTGTTTTGAAAACCTTCTTCCCCCCACGCAGGCTACCCTGCAAAGAGAAAGCTGTTTGAATATTTTGGCAATCAGAGAAGGCCCCAATATAAATTATGGATACGAAAACTCAAAAGATACTCTAACAAATAGAATACTATGGAATCCATTTTTCAGCCACCATATGGTGTCAACAGAATGCCACTTTGTTTCTTCGGGGTAACAGATCATAATTAAAAAAAAAAAAAAAAAAAAAACAGGCTCCCTTTTATATATTTATTTATTTTTTTGGTGGGTAGAGAATCTACATTCATTATATTGAAAAAATAAATGATAAACTGGCCTATCATTTTACCATCTTCTCCTAAATACTGTAAACAGTATTTAGCTGTTTTTGTTTTCAAACAAGACCAATAAATAAAATCTCCCTGAAGTTCAGATGCAGCCATTTCCCAGTATATTTTTAAATGTGAGAGAATTTGTTCAACCTCTTTTATAATGTTAGACTAGTTGCAGGTAATTTACAAATATTTTAAAAAAGCTACATCTTGTTTCCTTCTTTGCTGTGTTGTCTATTCCCTTGTATCCTGGGAATACTGTAATCAAAGATGAGACCATTTTGTGTTTGTTCGGTTGCATTTTTGTGTGTGTGTGTGTGTGTGCATTTATAGACAAACTTTATTCTAATCCAGTATTTTACAAGGAATGGAATAGACCTACTAAGCCATTCTCCCACAACTATTTTTTTCTGGAATATTTTTTCCAATGTGTTTTCAGAACCAGTTGTAAAAACTGACCATGTGCAATTTCCTGTAGGAGATGTACTATCAGCCAAAGACATATCGCAGCCAGGAAAAATCTTGTTACTTTTCTTTTGATTAATAGGATTATATTTATTTATTTATTTATTTTATTTATTTTTTCCCAAAAATAACCCTCTGTGAGTCTTCATTGTTAGGGTAGATATTCTTGTAGTAGTAGTAGCAGCAGCAATAGTAGTTTAATTGGAGTTTAGTCAAACATGCTAGTTAAAGCATCAGTCTTTTTCTTCACTAAATATTCTGTGTGTGAAATTCTCGGACTCCAGTCATGCTTGTCTGGCTGCAGATAAAAGGAACCATTTATCTCTGATTGGTTAAATATGGGTGAAAATCAACATCTGTTGCTTTTTATTATTTGTATAACACTAACACCATGAGAGAGAGCTTGCAAACAGTGTCATCGTATCTTTGACTGCATAGGATGGCAATGAGAAGTAACAGAGACCTGACAGTAGGGAAAGACAAGGAAAGAGAGTGCTGCAGTGCATATATATAAATACGTATCAGTTAAAGAATCAGAGATGTCTGTGATGGGAGTGCTTAGAAGATTGATTAATCAGTCCAGTTTAAATCAAAGCCTTGTTGAATTAATTAATTCATTAACAGCACACACAATAATTGTTAGTCCTTACACTTTATTAATCATTAACACTATATATACAAAACTATCTGTCTTTACCACTTATAACCTGAGTTACAGATGAGTGCACAATACTATAGCCATACAGTTCATGCTGATGGCTCCTGATGGTCTTGGTAGCTGAGATCAAGATTCAGAGATTACTGATGAGAGAAGTCAGAACTGAGTCAGGCCTATTGCTTTCTTCTACTGACGCTTCATGTTATTGTTCACCTCCCAGAAGGAGTAGTCTCATCTGCTTCTTCTGCTCCTGTTAGTGCTTATCTTGTTCCAGCTGCCTTCCCTGTATTGGTCAGAATGTTCTGTTTGCAGTTACTTGAGCACTTTCTTGTCCTTTGTCTAACAAATTTTCATCAGTTGTCTGTCTCCTACCAGAGACAGCAGCTACATTCATCTTTGCCCTTTTGATTTGTATACTGCTTAAATAATTATGTAAAATGTTTATATATTGTGTCTGTCAATGCCACCACAATGCTATAAAATGCTTATATACTGGTTTAGTAAATTTATCTTGAAGTTCAAAGAAAACTAATATTGATTATATCCTGATTGTGCACTTAACAATTTCTACATGTCCCAGGCATCTGCTTTGGCTACAAAAGTAACGCAGTTTCTCTCATTCTCAAAGCAAGATAGGAAGTATTGTTATCTAACCTAAGATTCCCTAATTAGGAGGTCCAGAAAAGATATAAGCAAAGACCAAACCCAAATTTACATGCTCACTGCAAGGCCTGAGATACAATCTTAACTTCCTCAATCCTTTTCCATTGGGCTAAGAGCAGTCTGGAACCAGCCACTCTCCATTAGCAGCAGAGAAAGCCACCATAGTTTTTCTACAAAGGAAGCTCAGTGAAGAGAATAAAGTTATGTGAGATGAATTCACATCATGTAGGGTCTTAACCATATTCTTTTTTTTTTTTTTTTTTTTCCTTATTTTTAATGGAACTGAGCGAACTTTGAAGCAGAAGCAATTATTTCTTAAACAATAATAACTGTATTACAAAGCTTCAGAAAGCTCAAGGCATGATTTTTTTAGAAGATGTACAATGCTATAAATATTGCTTTTAGTTTACTGTTTCATATCTAATAAAAATCCCTGTGTCTTATCTAGCAATTTATGATGTGAAGGGGGAAAGAAAAAGGTCTTTATGTGGCTACACCACTCTTTAAAGTAATTTTTATGGTGCTATCAGAAAGTTACTGTTATCCATTCTACCAACAGAAAAATGAATCATGAATAATAGGTAAACACCTTTGTGCTGTTTACAGTGTTTCAGACTTTAAAGTTTACGTCCTGGTAAGCCACTATATCAATTTAATTAGGTGCTTTTAGTAATTTACCCAAGTAAGTTGTTTGGTGATAAGTCCTTAGTCCTCAATCTTCTTCTGATTAGAAAGATGATTAATCTTCAATTGCTTAAGAAGCCTTCAGCAACAAAGTATCCAACCAGAGTTTTTGCTAATGTTCCACTTTCCATTAATATTCTGAGCATGGAAGCTAGATGGAGAAATGCTGCCTGACATTTTGTTTGTTGGAATATATTCAGTATTCCACAAGTGCAAAATTTCCTTATATCATGCTTCAAGGGTGGGCAGTTTTATGTTATTCCTAGTTTTGATGATATGCCAGTTGGTGCAGCTCAGCGTGTTTTGGAGCACTGTAATATTGGAGTTCATGGAACAACTGGTTTTCATTTGAGGTTCTCTTTTCTCATAGCCTGTTGCTTTCTCCTTGATATGCTGAAGTTCAACCTTTATGTGAAATTATCCTTTTGCCCTTATAAACAATTGACCTTATAAGTAATATCATCCCCAAACCTTATCACAAAAATATCTGCATTAAAAAAAAAAAAAAAAAAAAAAAAAAAAAAAAGGTCTTTAAATACTTTCTCCTCTCTTGCTCTCCTTGGAATAATAAAAACTACTTTTCCACCCTCTGCTCTCTTTGTTTCTTAATGTAGGCATTAAACAGTGGTTTAGCTACCTGTGGGTGAACAAGGCTTTCTGGCCTTGTTTGAAACTCCTTCATGATAACAGCACGTTCACTGGTACCAGTGGTGTATTTGGGTGTATTTGCATGTAAGGCAAATGTGCTATATATCACAAATATGGACCAGTGCTGTATGTAGCACTTTGCAACACAGAATAGAAGATCCCTGCTCTGAGAGATCTGAGGCTCTAACAACACATGAATATAAATGATGCTGGGGGAGGAGAATGGATACCTTCACCTATCTTCTTCACTGTCAGTCAGAAAGTAATATCTGAGAGTTAAGGTCTCTGCATTTTAAAAATAACAGGAGAAAGAATGCAGCTAAATACCAGGCATCATGCTTCTGTCACTTTTCTCAGGGCAGGAAAAATCTCCTGGAGGTTCCTCATTTGAGTTATACTCAGGTCCAGTAATTTTAAGTCATAAAAGTTTATAATATATTTTTATACACTGACTAGACTGGCTCTTATTTCATGCACTACATTTTAGCTGAACCAGATTAATTTAACCCATGTTTGTGGCTGGCCATATTTTAGACTGCCTTCAGTATGCTACTTTACCAGATTTAAGTCAGCAGTGAATCAAAAGCCAACTTTGGTCTGGCATTACTTAGCTTGCCCTCAGGTTAGTGACACTGCTTAGAAATGTGTCTTAAAAAAGTTTCCTAAAATGCTAGCTTGAGCATTTTTTAACTTCTATCTATTGTATAATAATGCTCTAGGCTTAAAACAGTAATTACATAAGTAGAAATACCTGCTGTCATGCTCATTTTCTGCACATGTGCAATACAGGAAGCTCTGTGGACCCAATTGGAATTGTAATTTGTTATTTATTTGGTGGCACGTAGCCCTATCACTCACTGTGTGTACTCCCCCCTTTCCTCCTTTTAAATTATTTTCCCTTTTTCCATAGTCCCATAAGTTCCCTGTGATCTCCCTTTCCATTCCTTCCTTTTTTTTCTAATCTTTTATTTCTTTTACTCCACGGTTAAAACTTGTCTTTCAGCTTTACTGTTACATTTCCTGCCCTTATTTTTAGCCAGGTTTTGCAGCTGGCACAAACCTGATGTTTCCAGAATGACAAATTGTCCAGAAAAATGTTTCTTCCCCCAGCTGTACTTCTGTTAACTAAGGAAATATGAGAGGGAATAAGGTATGCCATAAAATTTGAAGGCTATTTCAGAATAATCCATAGTTTTATTTATCTAATCCAGAAGACGTTGCAGCTGTAGAAGACAGACAACTGTGATTTCAGAATACAGTAAGTATAATATTAACATAACATCTTTGCTAAGCCTTGCCAAATAATTCCTCATTATATTTTTCTCTCATTTACTGCATTTATAGTGGCATTCAGAGCATGACAGAGGATTTGACTGATTTTACATCAGAAAATCCATTGGGATCAAGACATTGCTTTCCACTGTTTTGCTAGTGTCAAACAGGTCATGGTGAGTTAAACTACCTGAGCAAAGTCTCTTCCATCATCTTGGTCTATACTGTTTCTGGTAAAGGCAACCAATTAAAGCCAGAATAGGCTTTAATTAGGAAAACTTCTCAGAAATGTTTTGCTTTCTGTACTTCAGCTGAGCGCATACTCACAAGGATATATAAACTACTGACCGTGCATTAATCAAATAATTTATTTCGGTAAAGAATACATTTATTTATATATAGATACATATAAATACCATCATTAGTGCTTCTGTATGAAGACACATCACAGTCCCAGAATCAGTGAATCACAGTGTAATCCAGCTTCAAAGAGACTGAGGAGTCTCTAGTCCAACCTCCTGCTCTAA